GGGTTCGTCCCCGTCTACAGGAGCCCCCGCAAGCGCCCGAATCCCGGCGGCGAGGCCGGAAATGAGAACCGCGTCTGGGAGAATTGTGGAACTCGCAGAACCCCTTTATGGCGGAAAGGTCCCGTAAGGACAGGTAATCAGATCTGCTTCAATTTTTCCGAATTAGGGTTTAGATGTTCAGAATTAGGGTTTTCATTGCTGGAATTATGGTTTTTCGATTTGGTTAATTGTTTTTTCTGGTCGATTTTGTGTTCAGAAACTTTGCAACGCATGCGTCCGCAACCGGAGGAACTGACGGTGCGGCATAGAGCGGCGGCGACTCTGGCAGGTGTACGGATTTGTTCGGTCGGGGGACTTGTGCGATTATGTAATAAATTAAAAAAATAATAATATTTTATTGATTAGTGGAAAAGTTAAAAGATAGATTTTGAAATTTTGATATTTTGTACTTTATATGTAAATTAATTATATGTGTAATGATATATTTTTAATTTATATAAACATTAAAAGAATATTTTCGTATTACTGTTTGATTATTTTTACTATAATAAGAAGTATATAATTTTGAATCAGATGCTGATAGTAAAAATGATACTTTCAGTTGAAAAGGAAGAATATCATTTACAAATAAAAATTTAAAATTATCTGAATTTGTTGTATATTATGGTTGCAAAATTCAAAAATTAACATTGCAATTCCTCGGTATATTCAAATTTGAAAATTCTTGATATTCACATTTAAATTACATCAATTAATTTCAATAACCAATATTAAATTTTAGACGGATGCGGAATAAAATAGATAACAATAATTTTTTCTTAAGTTTTTTTGTATACATAACATTTTATACATTCTAACGCCTAACAATGACAAAAACCCTGAATAAATTTTATAGTACTAAATTAAATTAGTCTGCCGCAACAATCAAATACCGACAAATAATATTTCTAAAAAAATATTGAATACAAAAAACTCTTAATAAGAACATATGTACAATATATAATATTATACTCTATCTCTGTTCCAATTCAAATTCAAAGTATCTTTTTTACCATTTTTATTCGTCCCAGTTCAAAGTATCAATTTTTTATTTTTAAAAAATAATCATACAGTAATATCAAAATACCTTTAACTTCTACTTAAATTACAAAAGTATTCTATACATAAAAGTTAAGGGAAAAAAATATTAAAAACTCTTACACACTTCTACTGACTAATAAAATACTATTATTTCTTATTCTACTGTAAAATCCCAAATGACCTTTTTTATTTGGGACGGAGGGAGTAATATATTTTCAAAATTTTCAATCGATTTGAAATATTCTTTTTTAAAAAATTCAATCCAATTTAATTCTAAAATTAAAAAAAAGGTTCAACTCAAATTTTAAATTTTAATTTGATACGAGTCAAATATTTAAACTTCGAGGGTGTGTTTTTTTGTGGGTTTTAGTTTTTGGGTTAGGATTTTTGAATAATAGAAAGTTGAATTTAAATAGTTGTTTTTGTTGTGATATAAATAGAGGTTGAAGTGATAAAAAATAAAAGTAATTGTTTTTGTGATATTTTTGGAGGGAAAAAAAATTTAAATAGTAAAAACCTATCGTAAAACCCACCAAAGAATTAGAGCTGTTAAACGAGCCGAGTAAGCTCGAGTATTGGTTGTTCGAGCTCAACTCGAACTTGTTAACGGTACAGGCTCGGCTCGGCTCGGTTCGGTTCGTTAAGAATTCGAGCCAAAATAGTGCCTCGAGCTCGGCTCGTTAGGCTCAAATTCAAGCTCGAGCTCAGCTCGTAGAGCTCGAACTCAAGCTCGGTTTGAATTTTATACATATTATGTATATTTTTTAATATATAAATTAAATATATTTAAATTTTAATAATAAATATAAATCTTGATATAAAAAATTATATATATTATATTAATATATAAATAAAATAAATATATTATCACTAACAAGTTCAAGTGAACTACTCGCGAGCTGAGTTCGAGCTCGGATCATTTGTAGAAAAAGATAATTTTCGAGCTCGAGCTCGGCTCGTTTATCTCTATAAACGAGCCGAGTCGAACTGCGAATATTTTACTCACATAAAATTGAGCACAATCCATGTCACTACCCATATAACTTTTTTCCTCCACTTACCTAATTTCTTGTTCTATTTGACTTAGAATCTGTTTTCTTTTTTTACTCAGTTTTATATTTTTTATTATTTAGATCATACGTTTTTCAAAATATATATATTTCTCTCCACTAAACAATCTATCAAATATTATTTTAATAACAAATTCAAATCAATTTTTTTCCAAATCAATCAATCAAAAGAAACACAACCTTAGTTTTACTAGGGCCTCTATGTTATCATTTACTTAATTTTTATTTTGGGCTTTGTACTTTGACATGCTCATGATGTCTCGATTATATGCTTAGTATAACTAATAAAAACATATTTTAACTTCACAGCAATAATATATATAATTCACAGTCCATATAAATATAAATATATATATATATATATTATGACCTTTAATTTGTGGATATGTCTACAGAGTGATGAACTTGAAGACTAGAGAACCCGAAGAAGCCGAGAAACTTGTAAACAAAGAGAAACTGGAAGAGATAGAAGACGATGAAAAGGGAAAGGAAGATAGAAGACGATGAAAAGGATAAGAGAGTAAGGTGTGTTCGTTTAGTGAAATTGTTTGAAGACATGTTCTTTTGATATGAGGTATATACAATTGTGTAATAATATAAAAATAACGAGCATGTTTAATATATATATATATTTTTGAGAAATGTACTTTTTGAAATGGGTGGAAAAATAAACCTGTTATGCTTACCGACAAATAAATCAACAAGAAGAATGGAAGGAGAAAATGGACGCGAAAATGACGTTGTTGTTGAAAGATAAGGACATGAAGTTTAATAATTTTATTTGTGTATCAAACATTGTCTTAATTAAGTCAATAAGTAGAATTGTTATTGGTATGAAGTGTGTTGTTTGTTTGTTTCTTTTTAACATTTTAATTTATTTTAGGTTGTTTATGCGGAAATAGTAAAAAAATTATTTAGAATAAGTGTAATTTTTTTAAGCAATATTTTTTAAAAATATATACTCATTGGAGATGAGTTTCTAATATATTTATAGTTTTTTTTTTTTTTTTTTTGTTTTACTCACAATATTAATGTCTAAATAATGAATTTTTAAAGGCAAATATATATTTTAGTTTCTAACGGTTATATACAAACTAATTCAATTACAACCAATCATAATATACACATATATATAAATTTGCAATAACATATTAAGTTAATTAATATTAGAATAAGATAATTTTATTATTATAAATAAATTGTGGGTCAATTCATATTAAAACAGGTTAAAGTTAGATTCTTCAATTTAATTCAACAGTAAACTTGATAGAGAATTACGTCTACAAATATATATATAGCGTTAAAATATTGAAAGTCATATTATAGATTATTATTATAACTCACAAATTTATTTTCTTAACTATTGTAAATAGAACTGTAGGTCAATTCATTTTTAAAGCAGGCCAAAATTAAATCCCTCGATTTAAATCAACGGTGGAGTTGATAGAGGGTTATAAAACAAAGTCTGAAGAAAACAATAATAATAATGTAGAATTAAAACTTAAAATATTGAAAATCATATCGTAAATTATTATTATAAATTACAAATATGTTTTTTTATATATTCTAAATAGAATTGTGGATCAATTCTCATTGAAACGGACAAAAATTAAATCCCTCAATTTAACTCAATGATGGACTTGATAGAAAGTTAAGACATGAAGTTTGAAAAAAAAGAACAACAATATATAGAGTTAACATATTGAAAGTCCCTATTCTATCCATTTTCCCCATCTCTGCTCCGTCCAAAAGAAAAACTCATCGTTATACAATCTTTTTGCCGTCATTCTGTCTCCAAAATCCTAAACTCCTCTGGCAAATTTTTATGACAATATTGGAAAAAAAATTGTCCCCAAATCAAAGTAGTAAACAAATTTTTAGTTGTTCTTGTTTTATTATTAATATATATATGTTTACATGATTTTCTCTCGTAGGTAGTGTAAATTTTTTTATTTTCGGTATATGCATCGGTTGGATCATGAAAAAATTATGTATTATATTGTTCATTTTTATGTTTTTATATTGACGGCTTATGTATTCTGGTCAAATATTTTTTTAGAGGAATTTTTTAATGGATTTTACGTGTAAAGTAACGAGGTTGTTATTTAGGTAGAATATGATTTATTATACCTTACTCGATTGTCGAAAATTGATTTTTAATTTTTTTAAGGTTAGAATTATGGAATATTTGAAGCAAATGACCTTAGGTAGATATTTATTAATTTCTTGTAAATATATTATTTTGAATGTTTGTTTTAGTACAATCTTGTGGTTTGCCTATATATTTATACAGTGACTTAGATATATTGTTTTGTAATAAAAAAAAAAAAAATTCTTTTAGCCATTGACGGAACTAAAAATGTTTTCATAAATAAATAACGATGTACCAAACGATTTTGTATGCGACAGTAATAATAAATAAATAACAGCCTACTCAACGCTCTCTGTATTAATTGTGTCGGTCATCATAAATAAATAACCATCTAGTCAACACTCTATGTATGTGACAGTATTAATTAATTAATAAATAACAGCCGCCTAGCCAACGCTCTCTGTATTTGTGTCAGTCACCATTAATAAACAACGGCAGCCAACGCTCACTGTATGCGACAGTATTAATAAATAAATATATAACAGCTTAGTCAACATTCTTTGTATTTGTGCCGGTCATCATAAATAAATAACTGACTGGCCAACATTCTCTGTATTTGTCGGTCACCATAAATTAATAATGGTCTTCTTAACGCTCTTTGTATCCGTTTCAGTCACCAAACAAATTATTAGTGAAAAATAATTTATTTAATGGCTTGCACCCCTTACCTTATAACCACCGCCTATATAAACCCCTCCCTCCTTCTCCATGGACATGCGGTTCCTTACAGCAGCAGCAGCAACGAGCGACGACGGTGAAGAATTCTTCTATATAATACCCCTCGATCAAGCTCGTCGCTGAAGCACTGCAATGGCGGACAGATTCAGGCCGAGCAATTCGCGGAGGAAGGAGGAGGTGGAGGAAGAGGACAAGACGATGGATCTCACCCTCCGACTGGGAACGCCGAAGGAGACGTCGGGCACCGCCGCTGATCAGCCACCGTCCCAACAATTCTGGCAACCGCACGGAGGCGCGGTGGCAGTTGGCGGAGGAGTCGCCATCTGGCCGGTGGCGATAATTCCGGTGGTGGCGGTGCCGTTCCCGCAGGGGTTCGACCCTGTCTACAGGAGCCCCCGCAAGCGGCCGAATCCCGACGGCCAGGCGCGAAATGAAAATTGGGTCTGCGAGAATTGTGGGACACGCAGAACCCCTTTATGGAGGAAAGGTCCCGAAGGACAGGTATTCAGATCTGCTTCAATTTTCCGATTTAGGGTTTAGCTGTTCAGAATTAGGGTTTTCATTGCTGGAATTATGGTTTCCCGATTTGATTAATTGTGTTTTTGATCGATTTTGTGTTCAGACGCACCTTTGCAACGCATGCGGTCTCCGAAACCGGAGGAACTAACGGTGCGGCAGAGAGCGGCGGCAACTGTTGTGTACGGATCTGTTCCGGCGAGGGACTTCTGCCGGATTATGAATTTTTTTATAATTTTAATTGTAATTAAATCAAGGGTTTTTGTTAGTCATTTGAATTTTGTACTTGATTAAGAAATAAGTTTGAATTTTCTAATTAATTAGAAAATAATAATATTTTATTTTGATATTTTTTATCTTTTTGTACTATTATACTTTCTCTTTCCCTGTTCAAAGTATCATTTTTATGATTTTGGTTCGCCTTATTTTAAAGTATTTATTTTTTATTTTTAAAATATAATAATATCCTAATACCAAAATACTCATAACTTCTCCTTAAATTACAAACATATCATTATACATACAATTACTCTATAAATAAAGGGAAAATATATCAAAAATTCTTACACAGTTCTACTAATTAATAAAATATTATTATTTCTTAATCTACTATAGAATCCAAAGACCCTTTTTATTGATGGACAAAGGGAGTAATATATTTTCAAAATTTTCAATTGATTTAAATATTCTTTTTAAAAAAATTCAATCCAATTTAATTCTAAAATTAAAAAAAAAAAGTTCAACTCAAATTTTAAATTTTAATTTGATAAGAGTCAAATACTTAAACTTCGAGGGTGTGTTTGTTTGTGATTTTTAGTTTTTGGGTTTGGATTTTTGAATACTAGAAAGTGAAATTTGAATAGTTGTTTGATGTAATATAAATAGAAGTTGATGTGATAAAAAAATAAAAGTAATTGTTTGATATGATATTTTTTAAGAGAAAAAAAATCTGTACAGTAAAAACCTATGGTAAAATCCACAAAAGAACACAACACTAATATTTTAGTCATATAATATTGAGCACAATCCATATCTCTATTTATATAACTTCTTTTGTCCACTTAGCTAATTTCTTGTTCTATTTGACTTAGAGTATGTTTCTTTTGACTCAATTTTTTATTTTTTACTATTTGTATTATACGTTTTTAAAAAATAATATATATCTCCTCACTAAATATTCTATTAAATATTATTTTAATAGCAAAGTCAAATCAATTTAATTTTTTTTCAAATCAATCAATCAAAAGAAACGTACCTTTAGTTTTACTATTTCATTTTGGGGTAAATATTGATGGGCTCATGATGTCTCGAGTATATGCTTAGTAAAGCTAATAAAAGCATATTTTATGTATAATTATTTTTAAAAATAATAAAAAATAATAATAATAAAGTTAATATTATTTTAACTTGAACGCTTAAACCTATTTTAATATTATCTAATAATCGCATATTTTGGTCTAATGGTGTGTGGTGAGTTCAAGCGTTAGACAAATTTAATCTTGTTTGTCATATATAATTCGTCTTGTTGATCTTGTTTGTAGACTATTATGTTCGGCCAAAAGTACCCAAAGTACACTCGAAGGATAACGACCGCCGTTCTCACATAATAAAAAAAAAATAATATTTGAATATTAATTATTATATCAATACGCGGTACAAATTAAGAGAAAAAGATAAAAATACATTTATTAGTCTCTTATAATATAAATATAATAATATTTGTAGAGTAAATTATATAAATATAAAAATATTTGTTATATTAAATACAATGATACAAAAATGACTATTTTAATGAAATAAAAGTAGTAACATACTTTGAATTCTTTTCATAAATAATATTCCCAGTTGAAAATGTGCTAGGTTATAGAATCTTATTTTAAATATGTGCAAAATAATGTCCTTTCCAAAGCTTTAGCGGCCACTTAAACATACTTACTAAAATCATATCTTACACTCTTTTGTAAGTGTAATAATCATTCTCATAAAAAAAATGTAAATTAATGGATTTGATAATATATATATATATATATAATAGATCTAATAAAAACAAATCTTAGGGTGTGTTTATTGTTTTTTTTTTCTATATTTTTGGTGTGTTTTTATTTAGTACTTTTTTTTTATAAAAAAATTACTATTCAATCTTCATAATTTTTTATAAAAGTATAATACTATTTTATTTTATAATATACGGTATTCAAATGATTGTTAAAAAAATCACTGAAAGAATACCTTGTTGTGACTTAGATTTCCTGTAAATCTATGAATTCATATTAAAAAAAAATTTAAAAAATTATTAAAGTATACGTTATATGTGACAAATAATACAAGTCGCGGGTAAAAATGTTAATAGATGGATTGGATCATTATTATAATATTGCTACTGTTATTTTCAATATGTACAAAATGATATCTATGGAGGGTCTTTAATCAATTTTCATAGATCTAATAAAAGTATATCTTAAACATTTTCATAAATAATCATTTCTAATGAAAAATATTATTAATGGATTGGGCGATGAAAATATATATTGTAAATAGTACATAATAATAATAATAATACTAATAAGGCAAAATAACATAAAATTCCCCCGTGGTTTCACAAAGTTGCTGAAAATCTCCCTGGTTTTAAAATTCTAAAAAACCTACTTGTGGTTTGTAAAACGTTGCAGAAAAACCTTCCTCCGTTAGAACTTAACGGAGAGTGTATGTTACGTGTCTTAAATGCGAATTTTGGTCCAAAAAATGATAAATTTGTACGTGAAGTTACTAAAATGACCCTATGACTTTATTATATGCATTTTTCTCTCACATAAAATGCAATACAACTTAGTTCTTACCCAATGTCTTCTTTTCACCCAATTGTGTAGGTTCAAAATTCATAATATATTCAATTCAAAGAATAAAAAAATTGAAACTAATGGATCACGTTCTCAACCGATATTCACAAAAATTGAAGGCACACAGAACTTAGTAAAATCAATAAAGAATTGTGATTTTTCATCTTCTCTCATATTTATCTAATGTGCAGAGAAACAATGTTAATTTATGTTTCTTTCTCCATTCTTGTAGATATTTTTTAGGTTAAATTTTAGGAGCAAATAATTCATAATTGGAGAAGAACTTGGTGCGGCTGCCCGAAGAAGAATTAGGGAAGAAGAAGTAGAAGAAGGGAAAATAAAATAATGGGAGGAAGAAGAAGAAAGGAAAAAATTGGGGAAAAAATACCTGGTGTGTGCGGCTGCGGGTGAAGAAAAATTGAGAAATAAAATTGGGGAAAAGAAATAAGAGAAAGAATCTGGTGTGACTATGGGGGTGTGAAGAAAAATTGGGGAAGGAGAAAAGGAACTCAAACAATTAAGATCCATAAGAAAGAAAAATATTTTCCACAAATTGACTGACTGACAAACAACTCCAGCCCATTCCGGCGAACGGCAGCGGTGGCGATTCTCAGTAGCTTCCTTCATTGGCGAACAGACAACGGGTTAATACTTCCGCCGACAATTTTTTTACAAATCTTTTGAAAGAAAATTACAGAAAAATAAGAAGAGAAAGGAAGAATAAAAAGATGGGAGTGGGTGTGTGGGAGAAAAAGGGAAGAAAAAAAGTAGGAGAGAGAAAATGGTATAACGGTCCATTATGATAGAATTTAACGTCTGTTAGTAGAATTTAGAGGGGAGGGGCGAGTGTACAACATTTTACAAACCGGTTTTTTTGGAGTTTTAAAATATGGAGGTTTTCAGCAACTTTGTGAAACCACGAGGATCTTATGTTATTTTGCCTAATAATAATAATAATAATAATAAATCTGATCAGTTGTGATGCTTATCAAATGTAATAATAAATAAATAAATTATTTTGAATTTTTATTTAGTTAGTTTGATTGTGAAAGAAAACAGTTGAAACTAACTAGGTTTTTACCAAACCACTAAATGCAATTCATGCGTTACAATTTACTAATGTTATGGTGTTACTGTTCATCTTAATTAAATCAACTAGTAGTTGTTACTGGTCTATTTGATTATTTGTTTTTAATAGTTTTAATATTTTTATCAACCCGTTGAATATGAAATTTTAATATATTTATGATTTATTATTTTTTTCTCTTAATATACTCAAGTCTAAATATGCATTTTTTTAAAAGTAAACATTTTAGTTTCTAACATTTATATACAAAATAATTGAATTAAAACCGATAACAATGTGTATATATATATATATATATATATATTTGCAATGCATTTTTCATAACATATTAATTTAATTTAATTTAATTTGATTTGATTTATATTACTGCTCTAAATCAATTGTCCAAAATATTTCAATTTATGTTTACACTTTCTTGATTTATTTAATTTACTTTTCCATTTAATTATCTTGGACTTAAAATTGAAAGGATTTAATTAAGTTAAAGAAATTAAAAGTACTTATGCCTAAAACTTGATTATATCCTCTTTGAACAATATTAATTTTTATTTTTATTTTTTTAACTATGTAATATCTGAAAATTTCTCAAAAAAAATTAAAATATACATGAAAAACAAGTATCTTAAATCAAGCTTAATTTTTTTTGGCATATATTAATTTCGAATGACATATAATCAGATCGATCAATTATAGCATCAATATTATTTAATTTTGACCGACTTTAATTTAATGCGAAACATCCAAAATCGAAAGCGTACAAAGTGCACCGTATCCGATTATATTTGCGATAAAATTGCACATAAATTTTTTTAAAAAATTATACGATTTGTCCCCTCGAGATTACTTTATTTTCTTCTTTGTGTCGAATCAAAAATTTAAAATAAAATACAATGGCATACAATTATAATGAAACCCTTTTTCTTTTATCTCAAAAAAAAAAAAAAAATCCAACTACATGAAAAAGGTTTATAGCAAAAAGTAATGGCGGATTTAGTTAGTTACTCAGCAATAGCACAAAGCTTAATTTAGACCTATTCTATATGCAACTTCATCTTAAATTAAATTTGTAGAAACAACGTTAAAGTTAGTGAAAAATGATTTTCTGCAAATCATTTCACCGAATTGGGGAAGAAGACAAGATGTGCAGCTACTCTTTAATGGCGTCCACCCCTTACCACCGCCTATATAAACCCCTCCCTCCTCCGTGGACTTCCTCACCGAAGCAGCAGCAGCAGCAGCAACGAGCGACGGCCGGCGCGAAGAATTCTGTTTAATCCCCTTCGATCAAGCTTCTCGTGAAGTATTGCAATGGCCCACGAATTCAACCCGAGCAATTCACGGAGGAAGGAGGAGGAGGCGGAGGAGGGCGAGACAATGGATCTCACCCTCCGTATGCGAATGCCGAACGAGACTGAACCGGCGGAGGAGAAAAGGCCCGATGAGACGTCGGGCACCGCCGCTGATCGGCCACCGTCACCGCCGCCGCCGATGATGTACAATTTCTTCAGTAAAGAGCACGGGCATCCACCGGCGTCCACCTCCGGGAACGTAAGAGTTTGCACGTTTGATGCACGTGTGCTGATACATGCAGATTTCCTATTTGTTTGTGTTTATTTATTTTTATATATTTTTATAATTTGATAAATTTGTATGTTGGGGTGAAAATTAGGGCAATTTCGACCAACAATTCTGGCAACCGCACGGTGGCGCGGTGGCAGTTGGCGGAGGAGTCGCCATCGGGCCGGCGTCGATAATTCCGGTGGTGGCGGTGCCGTTCCCGCAGGGGTTTGTCCCTGTCTACAGGAGCCCCCGCAAGCGGCCGAATCCCGACGGCCAGGCGCGACATGAAAATCGGGTCTGCGAGAATTGTGGGACACGCAGAACCCCGTTATGGCGGAAAGGTCCTGAAGGACAGGTAATCAGATCTGCTTCCATTTTCCAATTTAAGGTTCAGTCGCCGGAAATAGGGTTTTGATCGCCGGAATTAGGGTTTCGGATTTGGTTAATTGGTTTCTGGTCAATTTTGTGTACAGTACTTCTGCAACGCATGCGGTCTTCGCACGTTCCGCGCCAACCGGAAGAACTGACGGAGCGGCGGAGAGCGGTGGCGGGTGTACGGATGTCCTCCATCGGGGGCTTCTGCTGGATCATTACTGGCCGCCGGGATTGTTATTATTATTATTATTTTAATTGTAATTGTAATTAAATCAATGGTTTTCGTTATTGATCATTTGTGAATAAAAGTTTAAAATTATCCCAATTTGTTGTCTATGATGCAAAACTCAAATTTTAACATATGCAATTTTTCGATATATTCAAATTTGAGAATTTTCGATACTACTAGTGTAACACATTTTAATTAAATTAGTTTCATTATCAAAATCATTTTTATAAAGATTCTGAAAAAAACATATAGCAAAATAATTTTGTGGGTTTGTAATACCTAACTAATTAAATAGTATATCGTAGCAGTTAAATACCGACAAATAATAATCTTGATATTGATTTGGAATTTTCGAAATAGAAAGTAAAGAATGAACTGCTGCGAAAAATTTGGAATGAAAAGGTACGACAGTATATGTACAAATCTTTGAAGTAGAGATTAATTAACTTTATTACAACGTCAAAATTAATAAATATGTCGGGTACGAACAAAATATAATCCAATCTTAATCAAGAATAGTTGATAACAAATATGAAGTACAATATGTAAGTTTAAGGAGAAGAACAACAATGTAGAATTAAAATATTTTGTCGCTTATAATTATAACTCATAAATATATTTTATTATCTATTGTAAATACAAATATACTATTACATGTACAACTATTTTCACTACAAAAAAATAATATATTTGTAACGGAATTTCGTCCCTAAAGTTCACGTAGCTAACGTAATTCCATTCCTAATTCCGTCTCTGATGTCATTAGTAACGGAAAAAATAGATTTAAAGACAAAAAAATTTTGTTACAAAAATGATTTTTTCTTGTAGTGTTTATACATAAAATCAACCGCAAAAATATCACAATCTCTTGCACACTTCCACTGACAAATAAAATACCATTATTTTTTAATCTATTACAAAACTCCAAAGGACCATTTTGATAAGGGACGGAGGAAATATGTATTTTTTCAATCACACAGAAAAACGAACATCGGTCTAAATAAAAAATTGACTGTTCATCTCATGATTCAAAAATAGGTTGAAATTGAAATAGAATACTTAAAAAATAAACTTAGAGGACAATCTTGGAGGTGAGAAATTTCGCCAATGATCTGAAAGCAATAGCTGATTCTTGGCGACTACTGTCCTATATATTGAAGGCTACGCCAGGCTATAAATAAGAAATAGTACTTTATTTCAGTTTTGAGAGTTAATAAAATATTCTATTTTGCCGGGTGCATTTATAGTGTTCTTAATTTAGCGTACATTAGAGATGTGTACGAGGCTGCAGTAGCGAGTTTTCGAGGGAGTCTAAGAATTGCTAGACCGACGGGAAGGTGATCAAAGAGGAACCATCCCACCCGTTACAAGTGGACAGTGGGGTGAAAAATGGGGTTGAAAGGAAAAACTTAGATGAAGAGTCATTTTGTCGAATAGATTGTGAGCGTGAACCAGAAGCCAGAACTTCGACAAAGGTTCGAGTAAAGTGGATGCAGACGAATCTATATCCGCAACCAAAGCTCATTAAAATGAACTTTATCTTGTTTCTGTCAAAATTTGGGGAATTTTGAAGGAAATGAAATATGTTTATATTTTTAATTTATAAAATTACTATTATATTTCTAATATTATATAATTCCTCCGTCCACACGCAAAGTAAACATTTACTTTTGGCGCTGTATTTAAGAGATAATAGTAATATTTTAATTATAGTGGGTAGTTAAAAGTAGTAAATGACATTTTTGCCCTTATTTTTTGGTGTAAAAGTAATGATGTAATATAAAGTAAGATATTTGTGGAAAAAAGTGAAGTATTTAATAAAATATTTATTTTGTAATTGGACGTCCAAAAATAGAAATATATATATTTTCTAACTTGACGGCGAGAGTATTACTTTATCTATATTTAATTATACAAAAATTATACTCCCTCCGTCCCACCGAAATTGAATCCTTTGATTATGGACACGTTATTTAAGATAAAGATGTTTAATTAGTTAATAATAATTAGTTATGATATTATTTTTTATATAATTAATAATATTTATAATTTTAAAGTAAATTTAATATATATGATTAAAAACATTAAAATATATGTTTAAATATTTAAAAATTATATAGCAATTAAAAAATATATGTAATATAAATATAATTTTGTATAGAATAAAATTTTCTATAATATAAGTAAATACAAAAATATTTTTTATTTATAATTAACATAAATCAATTTTATAAAAGATGTGTAGTTTTAAATATAGATAAAAATATTTATTTTTTTAAAGAAAGATAGAAATAAGGAGTTTTGAGTGGGTCATACGTTATTTATAATGTTATATGTTATCTAATTAATTAAGTTGATTTATATTTGTTAAATATGTTTTTATTTAATAATTTTTACCAAAAATAGAAATGTGTCAATTATTACACGACAGACAAAAATAAAAATAGTGTCAATTATGATGGGACTTATTTTATAATTAATAATTAGTTATAATATTTTTAAATTTTATAACGTAATTAAATTATAAAATAAAAATTTTTATATAAAGTGAAAAATTAAAGGATGGATGAACTGCGACGGAGTAATCACAGCAGAGAATCAGAGAGGACGAGAGGCCACGGCAACGTAACAAACACTAATTGAGAAGAAATTTCCATTTATATGTTATTTTTTTATTAGTTAAAGGATAACATTGTGAAGTGAGAAACGTACAAAATTTCTATTTATATGTTAATATATAGGAAAATTTGAAAATTTTGGATAAAAGAAACGCTTTCGTCTAAAATAAAATAAAATTGTTTTGTATTTGAAAATGCATTGCAGATTGTGTGAAGTCACTAACTCCGCACATAATTCCAGGAAGTACTCTTTCTCTCTCTTCTCTCTCTCTCTCACAGACGCCATTAGAGAGGAGAGCAGAGAAGACGACCGAGGAAGACACACCAACCAACCGCTGCTATTGACACCACCGCACCGCAGATACTCCCAATCACTTCTCTCTCACACAGTCTCCATCCATTCACTGGCTGACTCACCGCTTCAATTCGATTCGATTCGAGGCCGAGCCAATGACCACGACGCCCTTCAATTATAAATACTCTCGCTAGATTGCGCGGCCATCGTTCTCCAGCCATTTGTCGAGGCGTATTGATCGATTAAATTGATTGAAATGGCTTCCACCAACAACGCCGCCTCCAACCAGCTGCCGGAGTCTTTCGGCGCTGTAATTCCGGGGTGGTTCTCGGAAATCAGCCCGCTGTGGCCTGGTAATCAATCCTAACCGTCTCTCCTCTTATGAATTATTTGGATCTGAATCAATTAACCTGCTTGATTAAGCAGAGTGTTTTTCTCGTTGCTTCAATTCTTCGATCGACGCTTCGCCTTCTATAAACCTAATCCTTGATGTAACCGAAAATCTGAAATTGGAACACGACCTAGGGCTAGAGTGCGTAGAGTTGCGCTAGCTGTTAACTGAATGCTTTGATTTGTACCTAAATTAGGGTTTTGTGGAGTGCAGGAGAAGCACACTCATTGAAGGTGGAAAAGATCTTGTTCCAGGGAAAATCTGATTTCCAGAATGTTGTTGTTTTTGAGGTATCCGTACAAATTCAGAGGCATTCTTTTTATCCTTTCTCATTTTTGTTATGAAGATATATATATATATATATATTGATTTTGTATGTAATGTTGCAGTCATCAACATATGGGAAGGTTCTTGTGTTGGATGGTGTAATTCAGCTGACAGAGAGGGATGAATGTGCTTATCAGGAAATGATAACACACCTCCCTTTATCCTCAATTCCAAGACCCCAGAGGGTAATCTTCGTGTTTACTTTAACCATGATTTATATTTTAATTGATTGTTCAATAGAATCTTTTAATCATTATACGAGACTTAGAGCCTTAAAACAAATAAACTGTTTGCGAGCCCACCTTGATTCTGCTCGTTTTAGTTTGTTAAAAGTTCGTTCGCAAAGCTAAGTGAGACGGACATGAACACACAAAATTAGACTCACAAACAAGCTCGAGCTTGTTTGCGAATTTTGAGTAGTGTTTATTAATAAGAAGTTGAATTGATATTTTTATATTTAAGAAATTTATTAATTTATACGTAATTTTTAATAAATTTACACAAATTTATAAATAAATTATTATTGTTAATTGAATTTAAATTTGAATAAGATAATTAAAAATCCTTCTGACAAGCCGAGTAGAGCCAAAAAGGTTTGATTTCGGCTTGTATTAGTTCGTTAAGAGATAAAAAGCTGAAATTTTTATTTAAGAGAACTGTTTGTGGATTTGGGTTTTTGGATTTGGATTCTTGAATAGTAATCAATTAAATTTAAATAGTTATTTGACATCATATAAATAGATGTTAGATGCGATGTTTTAAATATAAAATAAATTTGTAGTATAATATAAAAAAAAATAATAATTGTTTTATTTGATATTTTTTAAAGAAAAAAAATCTGAATAGTAAAAATCCGTAGTAAAATCTACAAAAAACACAACCAAATAGTTTCTTAAATAAAAATTTCATCTTTTTCTCTCTTAGCGAACGAATACAAGCCCAAATTAAACCTTTAACGAGCCGAGCTCAAACATGAAGAATTTGTCTCGTTAACAGCTATAACCAGGCTGTTCTGAGAAGGTCTTATCGAAATGTCTGAAGACTTAGAGAATGACAGCTATTCTTTTGGTTTTAATGCATAATCACTCGAATTAAAGGTATTTAAGCGTAATAATCTTAATAATGTGTGTTCAGGTGCTGGTTATTGGAGGTGGAGATGGTGGTGTCTTGCGGGAAGTATCTCGTTACGCCTCAGTTGAAAAGATCGACATTTGTGAGATTGACCGGATGGTTGTCGATGTGAGCAATGATTGTTCTTCGTGCATTTGTTGTTATTCTCACTTTACTGCAAAATTCTTGAGCTGTGATATTACTACACAGGTTGCCAAGCAGTTTTTCCCAAAAGTAGCTGTCGGATTCGACGATCCCCGTGTTACACTGCACATTGGAGATGGTATATTTGACGCTATTGTAGCGTTGTTTTTAATCAGTTTGTTTCTAAGTCGAATGTTATTTGATATCACTGGAGGGGCTTGTTTTGCAGGTGTTGCATTTCTGAAGGCTGTCCCGGAAGGAACCTACGATGCGGTCATAGTTGACTCGTCGGATCCAATTGGTAATTAATGATTTGTTCTTTTGCGGCTTAAGGTGTTTTTTATGTTTTTTTGTTGTTTTGCAAATAATAGAAATTTGATGTGATGCCTTTAATTGAAAATAGATGTTTTTAAAGTGTTGGATATAATACTTTGAATGAAAAATAGTTCTTTGATTTGATTGTTTTTTAGGAGAAATATATGTGCACCTAAATAGTTTTGAAACAACTTGTCCATTTGGTTGGAGGGATTTGGTCAAATGTATTTCAAATCTCTGAAGTTAGTAGTGGATTTCGAATCCACTTTCTTTAATATTTCAAATAGTATTTATACTATATCGTTTTAAATATTTTTTGTAATCAAACGATATATTTTATCATCCGTTATTTCAAATTCGATGTAAATCAAATCAATTCATTTAAAATTCACCCTTAAATCCAAACCCGTCCAACCAAACAACTAAATGGAGCCTTAGTAATTTATCCTTATTATACTTTTGTGTTTTGAATGTTTTCTTTTGTTTTACAAATAGCGAAAGTTTGTTGTCTTGTAATTTTTAAAAAAGAGAGTTTTAAGTATTGTGTGCAATATTTTGGATTGAAAATTGTTTTAGCGTGGCGATTTTTTTTTGGAGCGAAAATATATTATTGTAAATGAGTAGTGCACATATAACAATTTTGAAAAAAAATTGTAAAGGAGCATACAAGGACAGGTGTAGTAGGGGGCTAGGGGGCAGGGGCAGGGGCAGGGGCAGTTGACCCCGGCCCCCAAAATAGAAGTATTTTTTAGTGTAAAATTAATGAAATTATGTATCTTGGATTAATTTGCCCCCCTCTTTAAGGCTTTTTTTTTTTTTTTTTTAAAGTGTAAAATTCATAAACTTATGTATTTTGGATTAATTTGTCCCCCTCTTTTAAGTTTTTTTATTTTTTAGTGTTAGAAATAATATATATATATTTAATTTTGTTGATTTGCACTTCTATTTTTATCATTCATTTTTTTGTTTTAGTAAAATATACTCTCTCTGCCAAAATTAGTTACACTTCTTTTGTAATTGCCAAAGGAAGTGTAACTAATTTTGGGAGACGGTGGGGAGGGAGTATTAAATTTTATGTAGTTTTGTTGAATTTTTCATTAAATATTTAATCTTTGTACTTTTTTTTTTCAATTTTCTGTATGTGATTGTCGAAAAATGTAATACTGAATCGATAAAAATAAAACTATATTTTGCCTCATCTGGATTTTTATGGTTGGTTCCGTCACTGGCAGCATATCCGTATTATTCACGACGACGATTTCTTGTGAATGACATGTAACTCCGATTCCCCGATAACATAATTGATTGTATGGGTTCAGGGCCTGCACGGGATTTATTCGAGAAGCCATTCTTTGAGCTGATAGCGAAAGCTCTTCGTCCTGGGGGAGTGGTGTGCACTCAGGCCGAAAGTATTTGGCTTCACATGAACATCATACAAGGCATCGTTGCAAACTGCCGGCAGGTCTTCAAGGGGTCCGTCAACTATGCTTGGACCACTGTGCCGACCTACCCCAGCGGCGTCATCGGATTCATGCTGTGCTCCACTGGTGGCGGGCCGGCCGTCGATTTCAAGAATCCGGTGAACCCGATCGATGCGGAATCGGAGTCGAAGGGAGCGCTGAAGTTCTACAATGCAGAGCTTCATCGGGCAGCCTTCTGCTTGCCCTCGTTCGCAAGAGAAGTGATCGACTGTAAGGTAAATTAAGGCTTCTGTTTTAGATTAATTAGTTGTTGATTGCTTTGGGAATAAAGGGTTAAAGGGATGTACTGCACTTCTTTGATAATAAAGTTTTAAGCAGTTGGTTATGATATATAGAACCTGGGGTGTGTTTTTTACATTTTTCTTTGGCCCACACCCTTTTTTTTTTTTTTGTAATATTATTATATTACATATATTTCGTTGTCTGAGATTTTATTTAAATATTAATTATTATATCAAAATGTAATATAAATTTTAAAAAAATTCTTTAAATTGGAACAGAGGGAGTATTTTTTATACTCTATGTCCTGTAATAAGGTATCCAATTTACTTTTTGCGTGTTGATTTTTTAATATTAATTATTATATTAAATCGTATTACAAATAAAGAAAAAATGACAAAAATACTTCTATATAATGACATTTGTATAAAAAATTATACAAATATAAGGATATTTTCAATGGTAAGTATAATGACGCAAAAGGCAAATGGATACTTTGTTATGAGACGGATGAAATATAATTTTTTATACCTCACATATTCAAATTATCTCACAAAACAAACACAGTTGTTTTATGTTTTTGCTTTTTATTTTCGGTTTTTTTATTTTCGTCTTACTTTCCGGAACAGTTAGACGGTATTTAAGGTAATTATATTACTACATCCGTCTCATAAAATCAGTAATATTTTATATATATATATTAGATTAGGTATTTAAGGTGATGATGTTTAATTAGTTAATAATAATTAGTTATGATATTATTTTTTGTATAATTAATAATATTTATAGGTTTAAAGTAAATTTAATATATATGATTAAAAAAATTAAAATATATGTTTAAATATTTAAAAATTATATAGAAATTAAAAATATGTGCAATATGGATATCATTTTGTATAGATAATACAATCTTCTATAATATAAGTAAATAAAAAAATATTTTTGTTTATTTATAATTAATATAAATCAATTTTATAAAAGATGTATAGTTTTAAATATAAATAAAAATATTTATTTTTTTGAAGTGAGGGGTAGAAATAAAGGAGTTTTGAGTGAGTTCTACATGATGTTGTATGTTATGTAGTTAATTAAGTTGATTTATATTTATCAAATATATTTAAAATTGATATATTTATTAAAAATAGATATATGTCAACTACTGATATACTAAGGGTTTGTTCTTTCTATACTTTTTTTCACATATATTTTTTAAAAACATATTAATATATCACATACATTCATTATTTTTATATTTTCTTCACAAATTTCTATATCTCACATAAAAAAATACTCTTTCAAATTATCTCACTAAACAAAAGCATCCTAAAATAAAAAATATGTCAATTATTGTGGGGAAAATTTAACATTTTCTTTCAAAAATAATACATTCAATATTAATATGTTGTTGGTAGCAAAAATGATAGTAAAAAAAATAATAATAAAGAAAACTGATTCTTTTATTATAGAAAATTCATCTAAAAAGTATAACAGAGAACCATAATAAATAGATTTGAGAAAATATTGATATATTTAATTAATACTAATTGTTTATTGATTTTTATTTTGATTTTTTTTTATATGAAATAGTAATTTAAATGATACTCCCTCCTTCCACCTTAGAATGTCCAACAATTATTATCTTATTTTTATTTTTATATACAAAATTTACTTTTTTACCTTTATTTTATTTACTTTCTTTATTTTCTATACACAAGATTAAGGGCAAATTTGTCATTTTATAACAAAAACTTGGCCTAAAATTGCGTATAAATATCAAATAAGACATTAATAAATGGATGGAGGGAGTATGTTTTATAAAATAAAATAATTTGTTTTTATACACATTTATAAAAAATTTTAAAAATAAAATAGTATAAAAAATTAAAAAGAAACTTTATAAAAATAAACAAAATCTTAATTTTATGAGAGAAATAAAATATGAAGAAAAGAAACAATTTAATTTTCAATTTATAATCGAAGAGAAACGGATAGGATTTCTATCAAGTCCATTGGGCCATTTGATTAGATTTGGACTGGAGCAGTAATGGAGGGAGGCCCATTATGAGGTGCTTAATGCTTTAGCTTGCCAATGGCAGTTCCTCAATTTTAATTTTCTTGTCTCTTTTTCTTTTTTTTTTCGATAAATTGTTCCCTATCAAAGCCCTCGCCGACCGCCGACGCTGCCTTATCGCAGGCCGAGTTCCTCGATTGCTGCCCAACTTTGCGGAGCAATTTCGTCGCCTCGCCGCTGAAGTGTACGTTGGAACCTAAGATTCCGTTCCGTGAGTTTACCCTTTCTACTTGTTACGTAATTTTCCGTTAATTCGTTTGATTTTCTGCCCTGGGGTTAGGAATTTCACTTTTGTTCTTTCGATTGTGTGGTCGTTTTCTGTTTTTTCTTCTAATTGTTGTCGTGTTTGTTTATGTGCTAGGGTTCTTTGCAGGTTATTCACGGCAAAAAGAAGCGTTTTGCGGATAATTTGAATCTGAAGGGCGATTCTCCTGCACCGTGAAAATCTTCATAAATGGTAATTTCTTTGTGATTCGATCGAGTTATTTTTGAGTTTCTGATTAAATTGCTTCAGAGGATTTAAGAGCTAGCATATTTCTTCAAATTTTCTTTTCTTCTATTTAAATTGGAACTATTAGCAAGTTTGAGTTATGATTCTTGTTTTGAAAGGGTATGGGTCAATGTGTGTAAAGGAATAGAATCATAGGTGTTTTTACTAGGAATTATGGAGTATGAATATGTAATTAAAACATAAGGATTAAATAATCCTTAATGATCACCACTCTTAACTAAACAAGGCTTATAAATATACAACTGTAAGATTGTAGATATATTTAATTTAACCCATCATCGAAATTAATATAATTTTGAGTTGTTTCTTAAGCACATTATGTGAAATTAATTGATCTTGAATACCTTGCATGATCATAATAATTTGTTTATACAAATATGTTGATCTTCCATTTGATTCGAAACTTTGCTTGGTCATGATCTTCTTGCTATATCTTATATTACAATTGTTATGAATGATGTTTAATTCCTAGCGTTCTTATTTCTTCAAAAGTCAATTTCACTGGGTTTTATCACTTCTTATTCTTTCCTAAATGTGAACCTTTTGATGCATTGGTGAGACTGTATGATTTTATCTTCTTATAATTTAATTATATTGTGACCCGATTTACTGATTTAGCTTTTTGTGAATGGGCCCAAATAATTGTAGGAAGATTGATGATTACTGACTTTGGTTACATGAATGTGCACATTGCTTCCACATTAATGCTATGCTCGCTTTAAATTATTGGATTTAAACTTTGAGGCATAAGCATCACGTTTTGTTATTAATAGAAATTTTATTATTTCGTTTCAGGCAACTCTTAATGACTCTTTTCTGGCTGATCTTGAAGAATTGTCCGACAATGAAGATGAACTTGTGGTTAGTATTTTGATCCTTCTTTTCAAATCTTGGATTTAATATGCTTGAAAATAATTATAAAGTGGCGCTGTCCGTGCTTGTGTACATTTTGTGGTTCTCGCTTGATTTCATTATTATACCTTGCTTCTGGGTGCATGCTGATATTATCTATCTCTAGGATGCCGATATTGACAATACTGAGCACATGGAAGAAGACATAGATGGTGAATTGGCAGATATAGAAGCACTTAACTATGACGATCTGGATAGTGTGTCCAAACTACAGAAAACACAACGCTACATTGATATCATGCAGGTCAGTTAGTTTCATCTAAGAGTTGTCTACCCATTTCATTGTGCTTCGTGTCTTTCCTATGCTTGAAATTCGACATCAATGATGTTTGCCATATCCCTTGGATGCATAATTTCAACTTTAGTGTTAATTACCGAGGTGATGTTTGCAAATGAATCTACTGATTGCACCTAATAAACTTCAAATCAAAAGCGGAATTTCAAAACTATAAATAGTTATTAGAACCTTTGCAAAGGAAGTCGTAACTAAACTAGGGGTATGTTCGGTTTGAAGGTTTAGGAGGGAAAGGGAGGGAATGTTAATTTATTTTAATTTTATTTTATTTTTTATGTTCGGCTCATATTTTTTGAGGGTCTGATTGGTTCAAACAAGGAGAGAGGTGGGGAGGGGAGGGTAGGGCAGGAGAAGAGAGTGGAGGAAATATTAAAATTATAATAGTGTGTTTAGTTCATATATATAAAAGGAAAGAGATGAGAGAAGAGGGAAAATAGTGTTTTTGTGTTTGGTTAGGTAGGTGAGGAAAGAAAAATAGAATAATTTTATTATTATTTATCTATATAGTATATAAAAAAAAAAAATAGAAGTATTTAATAAAAATTGATTAATCTATTAATAAAATGTCTATTCCTACACAAGATTTATTTGTCCAAAATATAGATAAATAAAATTTTTACATAGAAATAGTAACAGATATAACAGAAATCATATAAATTAAGTCAATTATAAAGACTAATTCTTATCATTTATGCCAATTTACATTTATATATATAGATTAAATTAATTATTAAATGGACTTCAATTATTTAAAACCTAATCAATTTAAATTTGTTTATTTAAATATTTTTTTTTATAAATATACTTATATAGTTGTTTATATAATGAATTTGATTAAAATTCTTAATTAAAAATATTTTTAAATATACTTAAACTAAGTTATTATATTTTGTAATGTAATTTGTTTTAGATCATACATGTAAGTATTTATTGAAATCAGACTACAAATAAATAATAAATTTACACTATTTGACTAAAAAAACCCCTTATACCTCACATACTAATTTGACTAAAAAAAATTCCTTATACCTCACATACTAATTTGACTAAAAAAAATTCCTTATACCTCACATAGGAATCACTTTCAAATCAAAACACTAAACAAACATTCCCTTTATAATTGACTTAATTTATATAATTTTTGTTATATTTGTAGCTATTTGTATGTAAAATTATTATTTATTTGTATTTTGCTTTAGTATATTTCACAAATAAATTGTGTCGGAATGGAGTTTTTATTAATAAATTATTCAAACTTTATTAAATACTTTTATTTATTTTTTTATTTATATACGATAGGTGGTTAAATTATTCTATTTTCTTTCTTCTTTTCTGTCTAGCCAGACACAAAATACTATTTTTCCTCTTCCCCATTTCATATGAACCAAACACATTATTACAATTTTAATATTTCATCTCTTCTCCTGTCCTTCCCTCCATTAAAACCCCTCCCCTCTCCTCATCTAAACCAAACAGACCCTAAAGTCAGTAATGGGTGATTTTCAAGTACTTCTAATGCTAAAATTGAAGAATGTTTAACCTTAATAATGAAAAAAACAATCAATCTAAGATACAAAGGATATATGTTTATTGATAGCACTCAAATATATCAGTTTATTAAGGATTAAGAAATTATACCATTTATTTATGTTTTTTTTAGATAAAAGTGCCAGAAGCTTCTGGCTGTAATCTTTCTTCTTCTTCTTATTATTTTTATATTTTTATTTTTTATTTATTTATTTATTATTTTGGGTATAAAAATGCAGTTAACTAGAAGCTAGAGTTTTCTGAAAACATTAATGGTCAGAAGCATATATAAGTTGGTTCAAACACTCCCTTAACTATCCTGCTGCTTGTCTATTAATTTAGTGATGATTTGACATGTTTTTGGCAGAAAGTTGAAGATGTGCTGGAAAAGGGATTTGATGATAAATCCCACGGAATCGTTTTAGAAGATGATCCAGAATACCAGTTGATAGTGGATTGCAATGCTCTGTCAGTTGATATTGAAAATGAAGTTGTGATTATTCACAACTTTATTCGTGACAAATACCGTTTAAAGTTTCCGGAACTTGAGTCTCTCGTTCATCACCCTATTGACTATGCTCGGGTTGTCAAAAAGATAGGGAATGAAATGGATCTTACGCTTGTTGATCTAGAAGGTCTTCTACCCTCTGCCATTATTATGGTCGTTTCAGTGACAGCATCAACTACCAGTGGCAAGCCTCTCCCCGAGGATGTGTTGCAAAAGACCATTGATGCATGTGACCGAGCTCTCGCTCTGGATTCAGCCAAGAAAAAGGTTCTTGATTTTGTGGAGAGTCGAATGGGATACATTGCTCCGAATCTTTCTGCCATAGTTGGAAGTGCTGTTGCTGCAAAACTTATGGGTACGGCTGGTGGTTTGTCATCACTAGCAAAAATGCCTGCATGCAATGTCCAGCTTCTCGGGGCAAAGAAGAAAAACTTAGCAGGGTTTTCGACAGCAACATCCCAATTTCGTGTTGGTTATTTAGAACAAGCCGAGATATTCCAGAGTACTCCACCTGCCTTGAGGATGCGTGCCTGCCGACTTTTGGCAGCTAAGTCTACTCTTGCTGCACGTATAGATTCCACTAGGGGCGATCCAACTGGAAATACTGGGAGAACCTTCCGTGCGGAGATTCACAAGAAAATTGAAAAATGGCAAGAGCCACCACCAGCCAAGCAGCCTAAACCACTTCCTGTTCCTGATTCTGAGCCTAAAAAGAGGAGAGGTGGTCGAAGACTGAGGAAGATGAAAGAAAGGTAAGATATACAAGTTTATTTGCATTATTATATATATGTATATATGTTTATATGCCTATATATTGTGGAAAGCATTTATTCGATCATAATTCAATCTAGCTTGTAAACTTAAAAAGGTCTTCATTTGATCTCCATTCTACTCAGATATGCTATCACCGACATGCGGAAGCTGGCAAACCGGATGCAGTTTGGAATACCTGAGGAAAGCTCATTAGGTATGTGCATCAAACAAAGATTGTTGCCATAGTTATATTGGATATATATATATATATATATATATATATAAGGAAAAGTGAGAAGAAACATAATCGAAATTCTGACCTGCTCTACCTAGTTGAATAGCATTTTTACTTATCTCCATTGTGAATCTGTACTTATTTTCTTGTTTCTTTCAACTCTTATCAGTACTTGTTTTTTCTTATATTTATTGTTTTTATTCCTGAAATACTGTTGATGTTGATCCTTGTGTTTTACGATTTTTGTTGAAGGTGATGGACTTGGAGAAGGGTATGGAATGCTTGGTCAGGCTGGTAGCGGAAAACTACGTGTATCGATTGGCCAAAGCAAGCTTGCTGCTAAAGTAGCCAAGAAGTATGAATCCCCTGCTAATTTTGTTCTTTATCATTATTTTTTGTTTTTTTTTTTAAAGAAAACAATACCCCTTGAACAAGAAAACTAAGAGATATTAGTATTTTAATATTAAAGTGGGGTAGGTAAAAAGTAAATTAGAGGTATTATGGAAAATTTATTAAAGAATCGGTAAAAAAGGTGATGAGGTAAGTAGAAAAAATAGTATTAAGTTGATTATTATTCGTTAAAATAGGATTAATAAAATTATGGGTGAGATAAATGGAATAGACATAAATTTAGAGGACAACGAAAAAAGAAATAGAGATATAATTTTAGCTGACGGGGGAGTATTACTTAATACAGTTGAAATTACACGTACCAATGTCTGTGCCCCTAGATTCTCCATTTACATTTGCTGCTTTCAATTTTTGGTTCCTGTTTAAATCCAAACTTGAGCTTGTAGATTGATTGATTGATTACTTCAAAATTTTCAGATTTAAGGAGAAACAGTTTGGAACGAGCGGTGCAACTTCTGGGCTTACTTCTAGTCTAGCATTCACGCCTGTGCAGGTCTAATGCTTATCCTTGACATGGAGATTCTCAACTTGCTATTCGCCATTAAAAATGATGACATAAAAGTGTTTTATGTTCTTTTTTTTCTCAGGGAATCGAGCTTTCGAACCCACAGGCTAATGCCAACCAGCTCGGCAGTGGAACTCAAAGTACTTATTTTTCAGAAATCGGAACTTTTTCAAAGATCAAGAGGACATGAAACAACACTCACCAATGAAACTGCCAATTTGCTGTTATGATGAGGTGATGTGAAATTTAATTTTGGCGAAGGTTGTGTTGTTTTTGGTTTATTACAGTCGGATTGGATTTGCGGATGTATGTATGTATGTTTGTTTTGGTTGTGAAGAAAATCAGAAATTCTCCTCTAGTTTATTCATTTTACATTAATTAGATTAGTTAGTTCTGATTTGCTTTGTTGACGTAACTTGAAATTAGGCAAATTGAATTGAATGTGATGTTTTGGAAGTCCCTCGTTGAAATTGAATAGGGTGCCGTTAGATAGGTTTTGGGATGCTTTGGAGGTTTGGTATTTTGAATACGGGAGCTACATATATGGATTTTATTTTATTTTTCAAATATTTTATTATGCACTTCTACCATTTTAGTTGGTGATTATATAATATATTGGTGGACATTATTGGCTATTAGTTTTTAGTGGTGAGACTAATTCATTACGTAATTTAATTATAGTTTTAAAAAAATTATTTCCTCCGTCCCTTAACAACAAAATATCGTTTTTTTAGTAATGACTACTTTGTGTTAACATTAAAAATATTACAATTTACTTTATATTATACAAATGTTATTATTTTTATATTACACAGTACTAATAAAATTAGTTTATTTTTTATTTTTTATTTTTTTTTACTTTATAGTACAAGAGAGTTACAAAATAGTTTTTTCAAAACATATTTAAACAAGGGATTTTTATTTTTATTTTTTTAGTTTTGATAAATTTTGAAAATGGAAAAAAAAATAATATTTGATTTAACATTTATGAAAGAAAATAAATATATGATACGATTTTTTTTAAAAATAAATAGTATTATTGTGTATTTGTCCCAAGAATGATAGATTTTTTCAAAGAATTTCTAGTAAATATAAAATTATACAAATTGATTAACATAAGTAAAATTAACGAGAATTAAATCCAAACAAAATAAAAAGATTTCAAATTGTTTTTGGTTTGACCCAATCAAAAAGAAATTGCAATACGTTCCAACAATATCAGAAATTTCAATTGCAATGGCGACTAGTCAATTGATTTTCACGGTGCCTTATTCTGAACAACCACAAAATCTCTTAAAAACATTGATCACCACTACCACGGTTCTTTTCCACTCTTCTTTCGATTTCTAATTTTTTTTTACTAGCTAGAGAGACAATGATGTTCGGCTCTACAACCTATGGCAGCCACACTTTAAAAATGAAGTTCGGCCGGCACTCTAAGCTTTAATTCTCATCGAACATGTTGAAACGTGACTTGAATTTAGCGGTCTACCCGACCCGAAATCAAAGCGAAATGGCTGTTTTAATTGGCAGGGTTCCTTTTGGGTTTATCCTAATTAATAACAAATAGGCTTAGGATTTAGGGTGTTTTGGGGTGCTTATAAATAGACAATTATGGTTCTTATTCGGAAGACATAATAGTAAATCTCTGAATCAGTATAATAAAATCTCTCTGGTTCCTGCCCGTGGACGTAGGTTGACACACCGTCACCGAACCACGTAAAACCTCTGTGTTCTTTATTTGTTTTCTTTCTCGTTTTCTCATAACAAGTGGTATCAGAGTCATATCTCATTGATTGAAGATGTCCTCGTATAAGTTTGATCTGGAGAAGTTTAATGGGTCGAATGACTTCACGCTCTGGAAGGTCTTGATGAGGGCACTTCTGGTTCAACAAGAATGTGCGGCTGCGTTGGAGAGAGAAGAGAAGTTTTCTAAAGACACGAAGGAAGAAATAAATAAGGAGATTTTGGCAAGGGCCCATTCCGCGATCTTGCTGTTAGTTACTGATGAGGTGTTACGGGAGGTTGTAGATCAGACAACGACTTTTGGGTTATGGAATAAATTGTGTGAGAAGTACCAAAACAACTCTCTCACGAACAGACTATATCAGAAGCAACGTCTTTACACCTTCCGGATGTCCGAAAGTACTCAGGTAAAGGATCATCTTGATACCTTTAACCGTATCATTCTTGATCTTCAAGGGGTTGAGGTTAAAGTAGATGATAAAGATAAAGCCCTAATTTTACTGTGTTCACTACCTGGTTCATATGAGAATTTTGTAGATACTATATTATATGGTAGAACTACAATTTCTGTTAATGATGTGAAAAATGCCTTTATGTTCAAAGAATTGAAAAAAAAGGTTTATCTGGAAGAGGGTTCTGGTTCAGGTCTGTTTGCAGGTAGGGGAAGACCACAGGAGAGGGATAACGGGAATGAGAGGTCGCGTTCAAAATCAAAGTCCTCTAGCAAAGTTAAGTGTTATTTTTGCAAGGAGAAGGGGCACGTTAAAGAGATTGTCCACAGAAGAAGGGAAATGCAAAAGTTGATTATAGTAACAGTGGCAGCAACGCTGTTGTGGTACAAGACAATTATGATGATGGAGACTTTGGTGAAGTTCTGACAGCGTGTAGTGCTAGTACTGCTGATTTCTGGATTATGGATACCGGTGCTTCTCACCATATGACGTTCTCTCGTGATCTACTAACTTCTTTTAAGGAGTGGAATGGAACGGTGAAGTTAGGTGATGATGGGATTTTAGCTATAAAGGGAAACGAGATAGTGCAGATAAAATTGCATGACGGTACTGTCAGAAAATTTGACTGTTGGTATGTTCTTGAACTCAGAAAGAATTTGATTTCTCTTGACACCTTAGCCAAGAATTTAAAATATCATGGTGAAGGTGAGTGGGTGAAATTCCTGAAAGGTGCTATGGTAATGATGAAGGGAAAACTGCAGCATGGAATTTATTTTCTACAGGGTAGTTCAAAGATGGGAACGGCGGCGGTATCCCAGTCCTTGGATAAACATGATGACAGGACAAATTTGTGGCACCATCGATTAGGTCACATGAGTGAGCTAGGGTTGTCTATGTTGAGCAAGCAGGGTTTATTTGGTGGGGATGTGATAGGTAAAATTCAATTCTGCGAGGCTTGTGTAAAAGGGAAGCAACGCAGGGTGAGGTTTAGTACCAGTCATCACACTTCAAAAGAAATTCTGGAGTATGTTCATTCAGATCTATGGGGTCCCTCTCCGGTGAAATCACAAGGCAGGTGTTCTTACTTTGTCACTTTCATAGATGATTATTCGAGAAAAGTCTTGTTGTACTTTCTGAAGACTAAAGATGAGGTGTTTGGGAAATTCAAGGAGTGGAAGACCATGGTTGAAAAACGGACGGATAAACAGGTCAAGACTCTAAGAACTGATAATGGGTTGGAGTTCTGCAACGCTCCATTTGATGATTTTTGCAAGAAATAAGGTATAGTGAGGCACCGCACTATACGACACACACCACAACAAAATGGAGTTGCAGAGCGAATAAACCAAACCCTCATGGCATGTGCTAGGTGTATGTGCATATTTGCTGGCTTATCTAAGCAATTCTGGGCTGAAGCAGTTAACATTGCTAGCTATCTGGTTAATAGATCTCCATCAACTGCAATTGACTTAAAGACTCCTCAAGAGGTATGGTCCGGTAAACCCTCTGATTACTCTAATCTAGGAATATTTGGATGCCCTGTATACAATCATGTGAATGATGGTAAGCTGAAGCCGAGGGCGGTAAAATGCATATTTCTAGGGTATGCAACAGGAGTAAAAGGTTATCGACTGTGGTGTACAAGAGGTAAAAATCTTGGTAAATTTTTTATTAGCAGAGATGTAACCTTTTATGAATCTGCTATGCTTGATCAGAGTAGAGGTTGTGAAAGTATTGCAGGTACAAAAGATTGTGGCGCTAACCAGAGGGTGGAGTTTGAGACTCCTGACAGAGTTGTGTTAGAGGAAGAGCAACAGGATAATACTATTGATCAATCCGATCAACCAGATCATTCAAAACCTTAAGGGGAACCGGTTGAGGGGGAACCTGATGACGCTCGTACTGAGGTTGAAGATTCCATAGCAGCAAGAAAGGGAAAAAGAAATATTTAGAAACCAGCTAGGTTTGCAGGATGTGTCAATACATGTGACATGAATTCTGTGGCTTATGCACTAGTGGTTGGTGATGATCTTGGCTCTGATGAGCCAAAGACATATAAAGAAGCTGTGGCGAGTAAACATGCAGAAACCTGGATTATGACAATGAATGAAGAGATGAAGGATTTAGGTGCGGCAAAGAAAATACTTGGTATGGAGATCTGGCGTGACAGAGAAGCAAGACGGCAATGGGTTTCTCAAGAAAAGTATATTGTGAAAGTTTTGCAGGCATTCTCTGTTGATCAGTCCAAACCAGTAACTACCCCTTTGGCGGCACACTTTAAACTTGATTGAAACACTATACCAGGTACAGATGAAGAGGTTAGCTACATGAAGACGGTTCCATATTCAAGTGCAGTTGGAAGTCTTATGTATGCGATGGTATGTACGAGACCGGATCTCGCTTATGAGATTAGTGTGGTGAGCAGGTTTATGGCTAATCCGGGTAAAGCTCACTGGGGAGCTGTAAAGTGGATCTTGCGATATTTGAAAGGAGCGTCTGATATTTGTCTGGTATATGATGATAAAGGCCATGGTGATTGTCTTGTTGGCTATGCAGACTCTGATTACGGGGGTGACTTGGTGAAACGAAGATCACTGACTTGTTTTATCTTCGCTTTGTTTGGATGTGCAGTCAGTTGGAAGTCTACTTTACAACCTGCGGTTGCACTGTCGACGACTGAGGCGGAATACATGTCAATGACTGAAGGTATTAAGGAGGGTATCTGGTTATATGGTTTGGTGCAGAGTTTGGGTCTGAAGGTGGAGAAACCGGTGTTATTCTGTGATAGTCAAATTGCTTTGAGTTTGGCTAAAAATCCAGTGTATCATGAGAGAACCAAACATATTGATGTAAGGTTGAATTTTATTCGTGATGTTCTGGAGGAAGATAGGTTTTCTATTAAGAAAATAGCTACATAACACAATCCAACTGATATGTTGACAAAGGCGCTACTGACGGAGAAGTTTGAGCACTGCTTGAACTTGGTGAATATTCGCAGGAGGTAAAGCCCTCTCGGGGCATCTGGCAGGAAGGAGACGACTGTGAGATACTGACGAACCTTTGGCGGTTGGAGAAACTCTAAGTCAAGGTGGAGATTATTGAAACGTGACTTGGATTTAGCGGTCTACCCGACTCGAAACCAAAGCGAAAGGGCTGTTTTAATTGGCATGGTTCCTTTTGGATTTATCCTAATTAATAACAAATAGACTTAGGATTTAGGGTCTTTTGGGGTGCTTATATATAGACAGTTCTTAGTCG